CTATTCTCTGAGCTTGGTGGTTTTCTTGCAGACATTTCATTCTCCAACTAGGTAACATCATCAGTGCTAGGAGGAGGAAAGGTTTGCAGAAAAGAGGAGGACTGTGGGGTCCCTGCTATTCTCTGAGCTTGGTGGTTTTCCTGCAGACGTTTCATTCTCCAACTAGGTAACATCATCAGTGCTAGAAGGAGGAAAGGTTTGTGGAAAGGAGGAGGAGGAGGACTGTGCCGTCCCTGCTATTCTCTGAGCTTGGTGGTTTTCTTGCAGACGTTTCACTATCCAACTAGGTCAGTGCTAGGAGGAGGGCATCAGTGTGGAGGACCCCAGACGCAAGGCATTCTGGGTCTTGCAGTTCTGCAACGCAGGCACGCCAGGAATACAGAACTGCCTCAGGTAACAGGCAAAACATTTAGGATACAGAGTAAGAGAGTTGAAAGGAACCTAAGAGGTCTTCTAGTCCAACCCCGGGATGACTTTTAAAAACAACAACAACTTTTCTTACTTTTTGTCCTTCCTGGGAGCTGCGTCGGCCTAGCTGTGTTCAGATCCAAACCTAGGACATCCGGGGGGTCCATGGGATTTCCCAGGTACAAACTGCAGAAAAGAGAGGGGGAAAAAAGAGAGAGAAAAGTTGAAACAATCTATTTATTTGCGGCATTCTCTGATCCTTCTTTCCTTTCCCTGGTTAGTTTGGAGCACATATATAACCATGGAGTTTCTGCCCCTCAGGGGGTTTGCAGATTTGCTGTCCGGATGGGGTGGCTCACCTAGAGGAAAATGTGCGCGTTTGGATGATATATATCAGTGGCACAGGGGAAAGGAGCAAATATAGTTTGGTCTACTGATTAAGGTCTAGAAACCAGGAGACGGGGAGTTCTAGTCCCGCCTTAGGCATGAAAGACGGCTGGGTGACTTTGGGCCAATCACCAGGAGACGGGGAGTTCTAGTCCCGCCTTAGGCATGAAAGCCGGCTGGGTGACTTTGGGCCAATCACCAGGAGACAGAGAGTTCTAGTCCCGCCTTAGGCATGAAAGCCGGCTGGGTGACTTTGGGCCAATCACCAGGAGACAGTGAGTTCTAGTCCCGCCTTAGGCATGAAAGCCAGCTGGGTGACTTTGGGCCAATCACCAGGAGACGGGGAGTTCTAGTTCTGCGTTAGGTACAAAAGCTGGTTGGGTGACTTTGGGCCAGTTCCTATCTCTTAGCCCAACCCACCTCACAGGGTTGTTGCTGTGGACAAAATAGGAGGGATGGAGGAACATTAGATATACTCCCTGTCTTGTGTTATTTATACAAATAATAAAGACAGGACAGGTAGATGATAGATAGATAAGAGACAGAAAGGAAAGAAGGAAGGAAGGAGGGAAGGAAGGAAGGAAAGGAAGGAAAAGGCTTCCTTTCTTCCCTCCTCTTCCTCCCTTCCCCATCTCTCTCTTTCAAATTAATAGTTTGAAAGTAAACTCATTTGTCAGAATACAGCTGGAAGGAGACCTTGGAGGTCTTCTAGTCCAACCCACTGCTCAAGCAGCAAACCCCATACTATGTTCAGTCTCTTCTAAAAAAAACCTCCAGTGATGGACCATCCACAACTTCTGGTGGCAAGTTGTTCCACTGGTTAATTGTCCTTGCGGTTTGGAAGTTTCTCCTTAATACCAGGTTGGCTTCTCTCCTGGATTAGTTTCCATCTCCTTCCTTCCTTCCTTCCTTCCTTCCATCCATCCATCCATCCTTCCTTCCAGAATCATAGCTCTGCAGGGGACCTCCAGAGGTCTTCTAGTCCAACCTCCTACTCAAGCAAGAAGCCCCAAGCCATCTCAAACAGGTGGCTCTCCAGTCTCTTCTTAAAAAGCCTCCAGTGATGGGAGTACCCACAACTTCTGGTGGCAAGCAGTCCCACCGGTTAATTTTTCCCCCCCTCACTCTGACGAAGTTTCTCTTTCATTCCAGATTCCCTGGAATATACGTGGCTCATCGGTGATCAAACCAACCAAACTCCTGGCTTTGCGCAACACCCCCGGCGCCATAAAACACGCCCCGTTTTGCACAATATGCTGAAAGAGCAACCCAACACCCAACCACACACACACACACACACGCACACTCATTGTTCACCCTGAATCCAGGTTGGGAAACCTAGAGGCAAGTTTGTGGCCTGAAAAATATCTTATCTATTTTGCGTTGTCGGTTGTGGGTCACCCAAGGCTGTTTGCGACGAACCAGTTGGACAGGCCATCCGAACACTGGTTTTGGGTGGCTCAGCCCTGGGTGCAAACCACACAACCACGCACTCAACAACTTATTGGCAGCAGGCCAAGCTCAACCCAACCCAACCCAACCCAACCCAACCCAGCTGGAGTTGTGCAACGACAAGGTGGCTTAGGGGTGTGCGCAACTCGGGCGGCAAAAAAAAAAAAAAACAAACCAAAAAAATCCACCAAACGCCCACGCCCCGAAGTTATGGCCGGCCGACGTATCTTTCGTTTCATCAATAAAAGCCAGTGTGAAAGGTAAGGATTTGTCTCGAGGAAGGAAACCACCTTCCTACACAGGATGTGGAGAGGGGGGGGGGGGGGGGGGGGGGACGGACAGAATAATGGCACGTCCTGCCCATGCAGATTTCGCACCCGGGGCAAACAGCAGCGACGTGTGGGCGCAGGAGAGCGAGTTGGTGAGTGTCTTGGAAAGGAAGTGAACCAAAAAGGTGTGTGTGTGTGTGTGGGAAGGAATCTCAAAGGTCCTTTTCAGGAAAAAGACCAAGCACGAAAAAAGTCTGCGGAAGCTGCACAAACAGAGACAGTCTCGCTCGGCCGTTGCTTTTTCTGCGCACAAAAGTTCCTTTATTTTTCAGGAGAAATAAAATCCTATTTGGCTCCTTTTTTCCCCCTCTTTCTTTTTAATGGCAACCAACTTCTCCTCGCTGTCTGCATTCACACAACCCCTGCCCCCCCTTATAACCGAGGTTGGTTAAAAGTCTTGGTAAATAATAATTCATATATTGACAGCCACTAGAATAACCTCTGCTCAAAACTGGAAATCTGAGAGAGTGAGTCCCAAGAGATGATATGTTAATGGGGAAAAAAAATTATGGATTGTGTGGAAATGAAAAAACTTACAATGGAATTAATTGCTGGAGAAGGAAGAAAAAAGAATACGGTCTGGGAGAAATGATATGTTTGGTTAGGTAACAGGAATAAAAGACAATATAAATATAATATAATTGATGTACATGTGTGTATGTGTATGTGTGTCTGTATATCTATCTATCTATCTATCTATCTATCTATCTATCTATCTATCTATCTATCTATCTATCTCTGCCTGCCTGCCTGCCTGCCTGCCTGCCTGCCTGCCTGCCTGCCTGCCTATCTATCTGCCTATCTATCTATCTATCTATCCATCCATCCATCCATCCATCCATCCATCCATCATACTTTATTGGCCAAGTGTGATTGGACGCACAAGGAATCAATCAATCTATCTATCTATCTATCTATCTATCTATCTATCTATCTATCTATCTATCTATCTATCTATCTCTCTACCTATCTATCTATACATGGAAAAGCCAATGTCACAACCTATTGCACAAATTGTAAATATGCTTTGTTTTTAAAACTGTAAAACTTTAATAAAGTTTATTAAAAAAATAAAAATAAAAGTCTCGTTTGTTGGTTTAGGTCAGTATTCCAGGTGTGGCCTTACACTGCTGAACAGATTCAATCAGAATAGAGTTGGAAGGGACCTTGGAGGTCTTCTAGTCAAACCCCCTTGCTCAGGCAGGAAACCCTATAGCATTTCAGAATCAGAATCGAGCTGGAAGTTGTTGTGGTTCGCAGGTAGCAGGTGTGGATGGCTGAGGCCTCGGAGAGCGAGGACTCAGGCGAGGAGGCTACGTGGGATGCAGGGATGGGGCCAGGACCCTCAGGGAGTGGAGTGCTGCCTTCAGAGATTGTGGAGGTTGGCAGCAGTGAGGAAGAGTCCCCCGAGGAGCCTGTGCTCAGTGTGTGCGCACGCAGGGCTGCTCAAAGGAAAGAGCAGCTGCAGCAGCGCGGGCGACTCGGGAGCAAGGCTGCAAGGTAATGGCCCCTCCCTTAAGGGGTAAAAGCCAGCTGAGAAAGCGGAGTTCTTTGCAGGAAGCAAAGACGTTTTTGCACTCAAGCCTTGTGGACGTTCGGAATATCTTGGTTGGTGTTTGGGAGTCTCTTTGTGTTGGAAATATTTCTTAGTAATTTTATCTGGTGTTCTTGGCAGCCTCGCACCACCTTGGCAAGGCTCGTCCTTATCAGAGACAATGAGTTTGAATAGCCTTTTAACGGTGAATGAATGGAATTCACAGAGAAGCATTAAAAAAGTTTTGCTTTTATCTCTGTTTGGTGTTTGTTTTTTATTTGGAACAAAGTTTGGGTCAGAACGGAAGGGCTACTCCTTACTGGACAACTCTTGCCCGACTGACCCCGAAATCTGGTTGCAGGTAGGAGCGATAAAATATTCCAATTCTGGAACCAGGGTTGCCATCCCCCCGTCAGGGATGATCAGATGAAGGAGGAAAAAAAAAAAAAAAAGACTAGGAACTACAAAACCCATGCTCCTCCTCCTCCATCTTACTTACTCATCAATCTTATCGGGGAAGCCCCAGCTCTGCTGAGGGTTGGTGTCACCATGGCCCGTGTGGATGAAGCTGTTCTTGAGCGGCTGGCTGATGTCGTGGGCGGACAATCCCGCCACGGAAGTCACCGTGTTGCGTGGGAATTGACCCACCTTCAGTGTCCGCTTATTCTGGCCCCGCCACCAGTAATTCTCCGCCCTAGGGGGGAAAAAAAAGACAGAACCAGGTTAGCGGAAAGACCGAAGCAAGGAAGTTTCGCTTTGGTGGGTGGGTCCCTTCCTTAAACTGGGATCCCCCCACCTCCAAGATTTTGGAGATGGGGTCCACACACATCTGGGTTTGTTTTTTGTTTTTTTTTGCCAGGTTGGAGAAGAGTGGCCCATCACAGTTAAATTGAATTTACCCTCTTCCTTTTTTTAAAGATGGCTCTGTTGATCAAGAGGACTAGTGACATGGAGTAGGGTTCACATTTTACTACCAACGATTCTTAAAGCAAATCAATCAATCTTCTATCTATCTATCTATCTATCTATCTATCTATCTATCTATCTATCATACTTTATTGGCCAAGTGTGATTGGACGCACAAGGAATCAATCTGTCTGTCTGTCTGTCTCTGTCTGTCATCTATCTTATTTCTATCTATCTATCTATCTATCTATCTATCTATCTATCTATCTATCTATCTATCTATCTATCATCC